GAAAACATGTTAGTATTAAACAATAAGGTTCATGTTGAGTTTACACTATACTAATTCTTACACCATTAATGTAACCTTTTCACCTTAACATAATAAACTTAACTAAACATAATGAAAGAAAGAAAAATAAAAAAAATATAAATATAAATAAGATAAAAGTTAATTAAGTAAAGGAAAGGAAATGAAAGCCATAAACCTGATATTAATGAAAAAAAAACTTAAGTATTACAAAAATACAAAGAAAGAAAGTAAGAGCATGATCTTGATCTAGAAACCAAGATGCCTAAATGCATGTTAAATGCCTCCTTTTATAGGCTAAAATTGGGAACTATTGATTTGATGACTAATTGATGAGTAAGTGGTCAACTATTGACTTGGTGACAATCCTTATCTTCTCTTGTCTGCCCAAAACATCATTGATAATGTTAAAATTAGAACCACTTGAAAACATGAAAGTTATAGGAAATTGTCTCAGCTTTCTAAGAAAAAACAATGGAGATTATTTAGACTTCTAGAACTCCAGATATGGGCCAAACACTTAACAGTGTTTGGGCTGAAAGGCAGATTCAGACTTCTTCCTTGTTGCTACAATTTGAACTTGAAAATGGTCTTATTAAATCTTGGGCTCCCATGAAAGTTGTAGGTCTATGTCTTACCTTTCCATCCATATAAAGTAGACCTAAACCGAGATCTATAGCTCCAGATATGACCCAATTACTGAACAGTGTTCCGGTTTGGACTGCACCAGCATATCTTTTCTAAATTTGGCCTTCTCTTTGTCCTTTCAGTTTCAGTTCTTAAACTCATCAATCAATCCTTTCATTTATGTGATAGGCCTGCATTTGAAATGAACATTTACCACAAATTAAAAGTAACTTATGTTATTAGATATGTTATTATAAAACATGTTTTAGTTAAGGAGTTATTGATACTTCAAGTGTAAAATGATGATATGAAACCTTAATAAAAGTGCACTTTTAAATACTAATCACACATATTTGGATATAAGATCCATAATGTATATGTTGTTATGTATAAGACCAAATGTGTATGCATTAAATAGAACAAGTAAATACCAATCGAATCCAGGTGAAAATCACTAAAAGATAGTTAAGAAATATTTTTGTAGTACTTGAGAATTAAGATTTTTTATTATTATTATATAGAGGAGATGAACTAGTAGTTCATAATTATTTGAATGCTAATTTTCAATTAGATATTGAAGAAAAAAATCCAATCAGGTTATATTTTACTTTAAATAATGTTGGTAAGTTGGAATAGTTTCAAATAAGAGATCAAAGTAAATTTTACAACTAAAGCTAAGTACATCTCTACGTTTAAGGGGATAAAAGAGGTTGTTTATGCCAAGAATTTTATCATTAAATTAGGTGTGGTTTCTAACATTATTAATCTTATAGCTCTATATTGTGATAACAATGGAGCCATTGTATAGGCAAAGGAACCAACGTCTCATCAATGATCCTTAAATAATTTTATTTTATTAGAGAATCATAAAAAGAAAAGGATGTAAAGATAGAGTGAGTACTTAGTGAAAAAATCTTGTAGATCCTCTTACTAAGTCACTATCCAAATAAAAATATTATTGTCAAGGAAAGAGAAATGATATTTGATACATGTGTGATTGACATAGTGCAAATAGAAAATTATTAGTACATATGCTCTATAACCAATTGATTGGTTACACGTGATATTGAATTTGTTCATGTAAAATATTTAAATCTTAATAAAGACTTTAATATTCATCAAATATCTAATTAATGGATCTAATATTTGATTAATGAATCTAGAGTAAAGATAAAGTTTTAGGAACAAAAATACTTTGTAGAGGAAATTACAAAATTTATAATTATGAGATTTATATAGCATCACAACATTATTCCTAAATGTTCCTAGATAATTGAAGAATAATAATTACACTAAGAAATTTATCATTAAAAAGTTAAATCAAACTATTTATGATTTTCCTAATATTTGGGGAATCATGACAAATTATTAGACATTGTATTTGATATTTAAATATAAATCAATTAATTATTAAATTGATAATAAATTAATTTGCTTAATTTATTTAATCTTATTTTATTTATGATTGTGATTTATATTTAGGTCAACTTATTAGAGAACTTAATGGATCACACATATAAGAACTATTGGTCAGAAATTAAAATGAAATAATTAATCAAGTGTAACTTAATTGTAAATAAGTTTTAGAAATTAAGGACTAAAATGTAATTTATATAGAGAATTACAATTCTAGATGTAGAAAAATTAAATAGAGACTTGATTGAATAAATCTCTAAAATTATGTTAAAATATTTTATGTGATATTATTCAAGGAAAAAGTTAATATTTTATTATTTATAAAGTTTTCAAGGTTCTATAAATAAAATATTATACCTTCTTTTTTATAGAAATAATATAGTATAGAACACTTGAGATATAAAAAAGAGCTACAGTAAAAAAAACATAATAATCTTTTTTTTTACAAGAATTTAAAAGATTTTTTATTAATAATACATGTAAATTAATATTAGGGGCTTGACATTAAATGGTAAGTGATTTACAATAAATAATCTCCTTGAATCAATTACTTAAAACTAAAAAAAATCTTTAGGTAATTTTTATATAAAGATTTGTCTAATTAAATCCTTCAAACTCTAACAAAAATAAAAATAAAATTTATTTAATGGAAGTCGCTCGCTTCGCGGTGCCAATACAGGAAAATACTTATGGCCTTGTTCGCCAACTCCTTTGACAACTCCAGCAGATCTTCTATCAAAGATTACTAACCTTCTCCTCCAAAGGCTTAAAGCAAGAAACAACTCTTGTTCTCCTTCAGCAACCTCTCAGCCCCACGATCAGCATGAAAAGCAAGTTGAGGAATATAGAGAATCATCAACTGATTTCGCAGACACCCAATTTTCTGATTTCCTTGATGATCATGAATATTAAACCATGTGCAATTGGTGGCATGACTACAGTTCTTGAGTCATGCTTTAAAGAGAAAGATGGTAGGGGAAAGGAATTGGCTTTGAATATAACAGGAATGATGTAGCACAGTCCTCTAGCGGTGATGGCAACAACTTGGGTGAAGAAGATGGTGAAGGAGAAGAAGGGTAAGAAGGGACCGATATCGGAGCTCTGGGTTTCCATTTTGTTGATAATGTTGAGTTTTATTGTTACAACTCTCCTTTCGAGATTGCTGAAGAGATTGAAGAGTCAGTAGAGCCGGAGTACTAAGCAGATGAGCCTTCAATGCTTGAAGCAGCCATGAAGAGAATGAAGTATGAGAGGAAGTTCTCAGCTTCTTTGAAGTTGGAACTTGGAACAGGAAATGCCAAGGGGAAAGGAAATTCAGCTAAAATTCAGAATGCATGTAACAAGAAGAAAGAGGAGAATAGATCAAAAGAAGAAAGCATGGAAATGATGCAGAAACAGGATGAATACTTGCAAATCTCAATCGAAATGGGGTCCTCTTCTTTGAGCAATGATGGGGAATTCTCTTTGGAGCACTCTTGATCTACCACCAATCTGTTTCATCAACTAAATGGTCGAGGATCTTCATTCCATACGCATTTCATGCTACACAACATTCCATTTTGGCAAGTGCTGAGCTTCAGATATTTTTTGACGTAGTATTAGCTTTCTGGACACCACCAGAAAGTATCTTACATCAATTTCAGAAGTCATTAGCAGTTAAAGAAAATTTAGATGTATAGAGCTATGAAGCATTTGAGGCTTGATCGCATCATTCAGACCGTATGCAAAAAATACCATGTCTTCGTTTTGCTCTTTTAATTCTTAACCGGTGATAATAACTTCCAAAGGATTAGTGAGATAACTGTCATGAGAATTAGTTCTTATTGTCTAGTAAGAAAATCTAAAGATGCAGAGGAATACGTTTTGCAGGAGTTCAGGAATCTGGACTTTAGCACTTGAACATGAAACTATTTTAACTTTTTAATAAAGATTTACCTGACATCCAGATGCAAGAATTTGAAGCTAAGAGCATGAAGTTGATTCCTTGTGGAAGGCTTATGGATCTTAGTTTTTCCTCGGTAGATTCTTTTCTAAGAAGATAGCAGAGCAATGAGGTGTGTGATATTATTTTAACAGATGAAAACAAACAGCAATTACCAAAACCAAAACCGATCCTGTATGATCTCCACTATCTTCTTTTGGTAGGTTGGAACATTTGGATTGACGCATCATTCAGACCGTATGCAAAAAATACCATGTCTTCGTTTTGCTCTTTTAATTCTTAACCGGTGATAATAACTTCCAAAGGATTAGTGAGATAACTGTCATGAGAATTAGTTCTTATTGTCTAGTAAGAAAATCTAAAGATGCAGAGGAATACGTTTTGCAGGAGTTCAGGAATCTGGACTTTAGCACTTGAACATGAAACTATTTTAACTTTTTAATAAAGATTTACCTGACATCCAGATGCAAGAATTTGAAGCTAAGAGCATGAAGTTGATTCCTTGTGGAAGGCTTATGGATCTTAGTTTTTCCTCGGTAGATTCTTTTCTAAGAAGATAGCAGAGCAATGAGGTGTGTGATATTATTTTAACAGATGAAAACAAACAGCAATTACCAAAACCAAAACCGATCCTGTATGATCTCCACTATCTTCTTTTGGTAGGTTGGAACATTTGGATTGACAAAACAAGACTCTCTTAAAGTATTTCTTATCATCCGAACACATAAAACAACAGGGTAGAAAAAGAAAACACCGAGGCAGCAAGTAAAATTGTTAAGTGAATGCTGCATTTCACTGGAACAGCAGCAGCACAAGAACTGTTACCCGCAGGCAAAAATGAATTAACGAGTGCAATCAAACCCTATTTTCAAAACTTCACAACTTTACAGGCTTGGACATGGCAGAATACCCAAATTTGCATGCTTGTTCAGGCGTTTAGCCATCATCCTGCACTGAAGTTAGGGTGATGAAACTAGGACCTCAAAGTCATGGCTCATAGTTTCAAACATATAATTCGAAAAAATAATTGCATGCACAGTTATTGTTACAATAATGTCATAACTTCATGGAAAACAACTAGATTTGGTTAATCCTTTCCTAGAAATTATAAAAAGAAAAATTCCTCATTGGTCACATACCTTTGAGAGGAATCCTAGTTAAGATAAAACCACTTTATGTAACAAATACTACTGGTGATTTCACCCACAGCACAGCAGGATGTTGGCCTCAAACAACTATTACCCACAAAACCAAGGGAAAATTTTAAAGGTAAAGACAGGGTCAGGCCGAGAAGCTATACACATCACGAGTGAATTCCTATTCACATGCATGACAAGAGAACCGTGGGCAATGGTCCTCTCAAAAGCCTACCTACAGGACCCGGAGCTGAGCAAGAAAAGCTGCACAAAGATCCAAGAAGAGAAACTGCGGGCCCTGTACTCTTTGCAAGTCCAGCAGGTACTTCTCATCACGAGTTTTGTATAGCTGTTCGAAACCATTGCAATAGCACATACATTAGTAAAACCTTCAATCTTAGCCATCAAACTCTGGAAATCAGCTCAATACAATAATCTACAAAGCTACTGACATGAAAAATGATCCTTTATCAGCAGTGCACATTTACAGTGGTCTATATCAAAACAATATTTAGAGCATCTTAAAACTAAAAAGAAAAAAAAAAAAAAAGCAATCTCCATTATTGTCTTTTGTCCATCCACTGAACCCAACAAACATCAAGCTTTTTCTTTACGAGTTCTTTCTAGGAGGATTCAAATGCAATAGTCAAAGAAGCAATCAGATTGGTTAACATTACCTGCACTTCAAACTTGACCACATTTGTTGAATTAGTGACTCCATCATTTTCAATAATGGTGGGTTCATCCCCAAAGAAATGATTGTAGTGTGCTGGATGGTTAACCATTCCTTCATGGTGACCGGGAGTGCCTGGAATCCACCTGCACTTCATATTGTACTGGCCAATTTTCTTCCAGCATACATTCAGTTCTTGCAAAGCTTTGAGAACTTCTGTCATTATTTCACGAGGGTGGGCTCGAGACTGTCAAAGTGTAGGGGGGAATATATGAACAATTATAATTGTAACATAACCACAGGCAGTCATAATAAAGCTGTTCACTCCATCATTTCACATGGTCTACAAGCTACATGACTTGAAAAATTGCCTAGACTTCCCAAACAAAAAGGGCTAAACAAGTAAAACTCCACATTCCTCAAATATCATGTCACTTGCATTTGACCTTGGACTCTTTTCCAGATCAAACCCCCTTGATTCATACTAGAAATTGGCTCTTAGCATTCTACCATTGGAAACACCTAAAGAGCAAAGAAACTTAACCTGGAGTCCAAGAGCCCATTTCCTCTCTACTAGGAACTGTGATTTCAAACCCATTCCTTGATAATCCATGAATCCTGGAAGGCGGTGTCCAGCAGCTGGAGAAGAAGATTCATTCTGATGCATTCCATTGAATGCACATTCCTATAAAATTCAGATCAAAAAGGGTCAAAATGATTATGGAAACCAAAAAGGGTCCAATGTTTTTATCCTGGTCAAATGAAAAAAGGAAGTGAAGAAAAACAAGTCTAATGGAAAACTTGTTAAGAGGAAAATGTGATCATTGATCAAACAATGATTGAAACAGCAGTGCACAGAGTACTATCCCACAGCCATCACACCACATATGGCATGCCAAAATTTTGAGGTCCCAAGTCTCTTTTAAAAAATCATTATCGACTCAATATGAGTCCCTATACATAAAATACAAGGAGGAAACATTTTCTTCTTCTCTAAGGTAGACTTGGGAAACCAAACGCACCATAGTTTCTTGGAACTCAGCTCCGAGATAGCCATTGGAAACACGAAATCGATTATCCAGTAACAAATAGTAAGCAACAGTAGCCTGAAAAATCCATGGTAAGTGACGAGACCATATTGATTATTGTATAAAAAAGGAGTTTTAATAGACCAATCACAGAGTTTCAGAAGGACCAAACCTCATTTTGCATTCTGTTGCGAAGAGATTCAATTAGCTGGTTCCTGTCAAATCCCATCTTGATCACTTCTTGGAGAATTTCCTCATCAATCTGAGCAATGACAGTCCATGTTTCCATAAATTGCTTGACAAATCTCTTCATACATAGGCAATAAAAATATAGACTTAACCTTTTTAGCTTGTTGCATTGTATCTGGTGGGGGCACGGCCAAATAACGGGGAAGGCGAGCTTGGAACCATGGGTGTTGACGAATTTCAGGAATGGTCATTCGCTTCATTGGATCAACCACAAGCATCCTTGGGATAAGATCTCTTGCTCCAGGTGATAAATGGCTGGGAAGAGTGTATATCCCATCCTAAAGACATAGATAGAGGACACAATAGGTTAAATCCATGGACCAATGAAATATGATAAAATGATCCTAGTCTTAGAGATCTCAAGATCACCCATTAACAGAAGTTGTTAAATGGCAAGCTCCTCAATGTTACAAGCCATGACTACACTACTTTTCTTAACAAGGCAGGATTTATGTTCTTAAATCGAACTCCGACACATGCTAGGTGAGCCATTGAATGTAAGAGAATCTACATGGCAGAACAAGCCATAAAGAACGCATAATGTGACATGGGTCACAGCTAGACAGTCAGTGTACTATGTTAGAGAACTTATAACCAACTCAAAAGCTTAAGATGGGCACTTCCCCTTCACATTATAAACCATGCCAATACTCTTTATTTTAAATTGTGTTATTTTTTACCTGAATACCTAATAATTTATAAAATCAGTAATTTCAAGACCAGTAAATAAAGTTAACAAAATGACAATATTACTATACAGTACATTGTTATTAGAAAAACGATGAGAAGGGAACTAGCTACTCAAGTAAGATGGTCATGTCAGCCAGAAAAAAAAACAACCAACAAAACAAGAGAGGTCCATTGAAGCCATGCATGCAAATTATATTGCAGGGTCTTCAAATCTAAGAAAAAAGTTTCAAAAAACAGAAATGAACTCTGGGACCCAGAGCAGTCAGCTGAAATGCAAAATTCAAGTCCAAGCATGCATAACTGGATCTGTAAGATCAGTAATAATAGAAATAAGTCTACAAACTACTTAGACAATATTCCAAAGATGTTGATGATCTAAAGCCATGAAAAGCATTAAGTGAAAGGTCATTATTAGGCATGTACTGATCTTAGTGAAAAGAAATCCCAGTACCTTTATTTTCTTAAAGAGGTTGGGAATGTTTTCATCATCAAAAGGTAGTGTACCGCAGAGAAGAGCATACAATATAACACCACAACTCCATACATCTACTTCAGGTCCAGCATACAATTTCCCAGAAATTACCTACAAAATAAATAAATCAACAAATCATGCAGAAATTAACCTTAAGGTTAAAACCAATACAAGGGACAACTGTATTTTACATGAAAAAGAAGGGTGTCTTCTTTTTATCAATTAAATGTTTATAAATCCATTAACAAGTGATACCACTACTCCATACCTCTGGGGCGGCATAGTTTGGGCTTCCACAGCTTGTCTTTAGAAAATGACCATCTCGCATTATATTGCTCAGCCCAAAATCAGCTATCTTGACATTACATTTAGAATCCAATAACAAATTCTCAGGCTTAAGGTCTCTGTGAACAACCATATTCCTGTGGCAATATTCCACACCGGAAATTATCTGCACGAAGAAAGAATTTGGCATACTATAAATGAAGATAAATTATAAGAAATTTGTGTGCACATTAGTAGGCAATACTACCTGCTGGAAGAAATTGCGTGCCTCATCTTCCTGCAATCTACCCTTCTCCACGATATAATCAAAGAGCTCCCCAGACTTCACATACTCCATGACAACATATATGTCAGATGGTGTTTCTATAACCTCATAAAGTCGTATGATGTGGGGATGCATAAACAATCTCAAGATTTTGATTTCTCTTCTCACTGCAAAAGGGAAGACAACAGAAGGCATAAGTCCATCAAACTGAGCTGCAACAATCCTTGACAATTTGAACAAAACTATCACCCACAAGGAAAAGAAAAAAACCTTGAACTCCCTAGAAAAATGTTTAAATAACTTCATATATAAATCTTGATGGTCTCAGCATAGCATTTTTCATTTAAAGTTTCAAATGGCCTCCTTTTAGTCATATAAATGCTATCACAGTTACTATGGAAAGAAATCATCCATTCACATCACAAATAAAAGCATCCATCATTGAAGTTATTGGAACAGCAGATTACCCAATCACATCTACTTGTTTTGATAGAAAAAGAGTCACGGGCAATGCATACCTTTTTCTTCCATCTCCATGTTTTTTATCTTACGGCGGTTAAGTACCTTGATGGCAACTTTGTGCCGCGTCAATGCATGCTCTGCTATTTTCACCTTGCCAAAGGAACCGATTCCAAGTGTTTTACCAAGCTTATAATTTGGTAAATACATATCCAAACTACTACTACCTCTGTAAGATGACCCATCCATTTGCCTATTCAAAAGGAATGGAAAAAACAGAAATTCAGAGAAACGTGAAAGCAATTACACAAATATATCAGTGTTGTATACATACACTAGCATGTTGAGGTGGCTTTAGAAACATTTCAGCATGGCATTTCAAGGAAACTGGTTCATTATTAATAAAAGAAGTTGGCTTTAGAAGAAACATTTCATACATGCATAGAAATCTCCTCCTTCAGGCGATGACATAAATGCTAACACATATGAAACAATCAACATTGGGTTGTTGATATGGAAATTTTAGTAGCATGCTAGGAACAGTTGTGTCAAGAACAACTATCTGTACACTCTACAGATCTCATTGTTGATAAAATCCATGTGTTGTAAGCATGGAATCAAATAATTGCCTTTAAAAGAAATCAGAGGGGTGGGATTCCACTATTCAGTGAACGAGGAACGATTTCAGAATAACACCTCTAACAGCCATTGATGGCCAGTAACAGATGTTGATTGTTCAACATGTTGTGGCCATTTCATTTGAAAACTATTGATGTATTACTTCTGGGAGAGAATTGAAAGAATCTCTTAGCTATGCATGTATCAAGCTCAGTCCAATAATCAGGTAATAAGGTAACATGCGTATGTTCCATGAAAACTAAGGTATTTACTCATTTAAAGTATCAAAATTGTCATTTATAGTAAAACTGTTAAAATCTACGCACTAAAACAACTCAGCAACAGCCATTACCATTACCTAACCCGCAATCGCCACAGCATAGCTATCCTAACCAAAATTTAAAACCATGGAACATACGCTAAATTTCTCCAACAGTGAGCCACGATAATTTCTCCAACAGTGAGATCCATCTAAATATTTTAATAAACAACTGCTCTTAATACTACCGTAAATAAATTCTTCAGTCTAAGTGGTTTCCTCAGTTCCCTAAATTTTGAAGAAACAAGAACACCCCATGAATAAAAAAGTACACCCATAAGTAGTCATGCATGGCTGAGAGCACAAACAATTTCAAAAACCCATTTCAATTTTTACAAAGCAGTGAAATTTTACCAAATTGTTACTCCCAAGAATTTCATAAATCCCAAGATTTCACATTTCCAAGCACGACAACTTAATCACTCAATTAATTGATGATTTCACCCAATTTAATTAACATGCCAGTGTATTTCGTAGCCCTAATTTGAACAACTCTCAACTTTAAAAAGAAGAGAAAAAATAAATGAAAAGGAGAATGGGCAATTCTCAAAATCATATCAAATTAAGCTCGAATTACAGAGAAACGAAAAGGAAAAAAAAACAAAAAATGGAATTCTTAAATCAAGTAAAGAACCCCAGCTTCCCACAGATCTTACAATCAAGCATAAAAAAGTCAAACATCTTACAATCGAAGACATACACAGAGACGTACCGAGAATGGGAGAATCTGTCGCTAAAGTCGCAGAACCGAGCTGAAAAAAGACAAGAAGAGGTAGAAAGAGATATTCTAAGATTTTATAAAGAGACAGTTCTAATCATCGATTAACGTGATTACTTTGTAGTAAGACTTACGAGATCAATTTACTTTCGTTGTTAATCCTCTCTCTCCCTTTCATTTGTTAATTCTCTCTGATTAATTACAGATTCGCTCCAAGGACAACAAAATCTATTTTTTTCTCTCTCACTTTCTCGACCGGAATCGCATTTATAATCAACGGTTAATGGTAGTGGTGTCCGAAGTTGGGCATTGAAATAATGTTCAGGTGTTGAGGGTAAATTTGGTAATTTAAAAATGAGATGATTAACGAGGAGGGTGTTATGGTAGATTCCCTTTTCTCTCCTAGAAAGCGGTACAAGCAAAAGACTGATCGGTGAAAACGTACGTAACTTGGTATGTCAACGAACCAGTTTTTTAGCATTATTATTAAATTTTAAAATATAATCATTTGAAAAAAATAATCAAAATTTTTTATTAATATATTTTTTATTTTTATTAATAAATACAAGGATTTTAACAAAAATCATTGTTTCTATTACAAAAATAAATATTTTATGATAGTTAAATAATTTTAGAAAATATTAAAATGATGTATGCTTATTTTATATGTGATTAAAAGTTAAAAATATCACAAATATGATAAAACTATATTAAAAATATATTTAAAAATTTTAATAATAAAAATAAAATTTTATTAATAATTTATATTAGTATTTAAAAACTATATCTAAACTAAAAAATAAGAAAAAGTGTAAAAAAATCTTGATTGCCAATAAATAAAAATAAAAAGACATAAAAAGGCCTGACTCAGGAAAATTAAACAAGACTTCCATCTAGCTATAATAAAAAATTGTTATAAAATAATTAATAAGAGTGATTAAAAATTTATATAATTAATAATTTTAAAAATTATAAAATTAATTAAAATACAGGTAAATTGATTTGGATAATTATATTAATAAAATAATTATTATAAAATGATTAAACAAAATATATTAAAATATTTCACGGTTTATATAAAAAGTAGCACCATAAAAAAAACCTAATTTTTAGAAATAATTAAAGGAGGGGTGTAAATTAACAATAATGGAAAAGAAAAGAAAAGGGTTTGTGTAAATTGTAAGATTTAATTTTGTTTATGTAGAATAAAAAAATAAAAAAACAGAGAAATTGTTTATTTTCCAATAATATTATTAATTGTTGATCTTTATAGACAAAATCACCAATAGATTGAAAAATTGTTGGTATTATTTGGTGATTTTGTGAAAAAATTCAATTAATTTAAAATTTTCATTTAAATAATTTAGATGGAATCATCGACGGATTCAAAAATCATTAACGATTGTTAGCAGTTTCTGAAAACTTTTCATGAAATTAAAAATTTAAATTAAATATTACTGATAAAATAATTAAAAAGTATTAATATTTAATTTTTTATCTATAAAACCATTGTTAACACGCCCCAATAAAAAGCATGAATCTCCTTATTTTACAAGAGATAGACTCATTTTTTATTCTTCTTTGTCTTCTACTTCTTCTTCTTCTTTTTATTCTTTTTCACTATATGTAAATAGTATCAATATTTATTTCTTTCTCTTATCTTCTTTTCTCTTCAATGGGTATGTTTTTTTCTTCTTTCTTCTTTTATCCTCTTAGTTTTTTAAAATTAATATGCTTTATGGAAAAAATATTTCCCTTCTTAGCTTCACTTGCAACTATATTAAGATAAGATTTTTTTTTTTCATGATTTGTTTCACTATATTTGTTTTTATTTTATTTTAATTGTTTTTGTTCTTAATAATTGTATAAATGTTGTTGTGATATTTTTTTTCATATGAAATCAATTTTTAGTTGATTTATTTATAGAATTTTTAAATTTTTAGCAATTGCAACTTTATTTTTTTCATATGAATTTTTTTAGTTGAATTTATTTTTTTGTTTTATTTATTTTTTTCAAATTTGTTTGAATTGATTTTCTTATTCTTTTTTCCAAGTATTTTGAGTATATATTATAGAGTATTGATTTATGTTAATTTAATTGTTTTATAATTTTATAAAATGGATTTTTAAACATTTTTAAATAATTTTCGATGGAATTACCAATGGTACTTTTTGAGAGATATACTGGTGGAATGAAGTGGATAATTTTTTTTATGTGTCTATTTCATCAATAAATCCGTCAGTAATAATATTTTTTTTTATTACCAATAAATTCACCTACGGACAAAAAATTACTAATGAAAGATTCACCGATAGAGCATTTTCATCGGTGATTTTGTTGATAAATTAATTACTGATGGAATATATGTTTTACGCTGACAAAAAATTCTATTTTTAATGTTGTAGTGTTAAAAAAAATTCTAACTACTGACACTAGACTGCAAATCTTACTTTCATCTTCATTTTGAGTGTGTTTATAATTTTATTTTTTGTAAATAATAAAGCTGTTTGCATAGCACATGTAACAAAAACAAAATATTACATTGAAAGATCGACCTTTTTTATGTTTTTGGAGGCAAACTGTTAGTGTAAATTCCAGTTATTGATAGCTACCACTACCAATAATCAACGAACTGTAGTAAATTTAGCTATTCAAATAAAAGTCTGTCTAGTCAGATCCTTCAACTAGAGAGAATTGTTTAGAAACGAAACATGCTTGAAATCTTTGTACTAGCTAGTTATTCCATCAACTTTATATATAATTTTGTAAACCTATTTAGAGTCGATGTATGTTTTCTCTAAGGAGACATTCAAGGGTCCAAGTATTGCTGGCTTTCAATGCTTGAATCTCATTTTGCATGCGTTCTTTCCAGCGAAGATCTTGATTATCCAGTGAAAAATTACATGGCCCATCTACAAAAGAAGAAATAGCTAGTGATTAGTACTTAAAAATGTATTTTTATCAAGGTTTTATGTCATTATTTTGCCCTTGAAGTATCAATAACTCCTTAACTAAAGCATGTTTTATAATAATATATCTAACAATATAAGATACCTTTAATTTGTGGTAAATGTTCATTTTAAATGCAGGTCTATCACATAAATAAAAGGATTAATCAATGAATTTAAGAACCGAAATTGAAAGGACAAAAAGATGGCCAAACTTAGAAAAGAGATGTCGGTGCAGTCCAAACCGGAACACTGTTTGGTAATTGGGTCATATCTGGAGCTGTAGATCTCAGATTTAGGTATACTTTATATGGATGGAAAGGTAAGACATGGGCCTATAACTTTCATATGGAGCTCAAGATTTAAAAAGGTTATTTTCAAGTCCAAATTGTATCAACAACAAATAAGTCCAAATCTGTCCTTCAGCCCAAACACTATTCAATATTTGGCCCATATCTGAAGTTCGAGAAGTCCAAATGACCTCAATTGTTTACACAAAAAAGCTAAGACAGTTTTCTACAACTTTCGTGTTTTCAAGTGGTTCCAATTTTGACGTTATCAATGACATTGTGGACAGACAAGAGAAGATAAGAATTGTTACCAAGTCAAGAGTTGGTCACCCACTCATCAATTAGTCATCAAATCAATAGTTATAAGTTATAATCATGAATGCCTGACGAGATTTACAAGTATTAGCATTAATTGAATAAGATAACTAATGTGATCATGTTAACAATTTATAATCTAATTGGAATATCATTTGTGTGTGGTTTCCAATTGAATAATGAGAGCTTATACTATACTTGTTTGACATACCATTAGTAAAACCTCTAACCTTAACAGTTGTTATTATCATTGTTTAATTCTTACATTAATATTCCATCTCAAAGTTCTCATCATCATCTTCTTCTTCTCCTTCTCTTTCTTTATTATTATTATTATTATTATTATTATTATTACCATCACCACCATCACCACCACTATTATTATTGTTATTATTGTTGTATTATTATCATTTATAATTTATATAATTAATTTTCTTGTGGTTTGATCTCGGTTTTGTCAGATTATTTATTACTTTGACACTTATATATTTAAAAAAAATATTAATTTTCTAGTCATGTCAGCTAGTAAATAAACCTTTTGGGAGGGTGAAAAATGATTGCATGTGATTATAGATGAAGTAGGATAAACAATGCCTGAGTTGGCTGACGGAGAAGGCAACATAAAATGAGCCTTTGAAGACGGTATGTCATAGATAAAACCTTGGAATTTTATGGAAAGATGGCTTGTACATGTTGGTTAGATTGAGGGGTGGGTGTTTGTGTATCAAGCTCATTTAATGCAAAAGGTAGAGCTGCTTTTGTTGTTTCTTGCAAGAGATGTTTGTATAAACGGAAACGCATATTGATGAAAGGTTACATCACGGGAAACAAAAAAAAATCATTATCTAAATTGTATCCTTTTTATCCACAAGAATAACCAAAGAATATGCAACGAGAAGGGCCTTTGATCCACTTTTTTCATAAATTTTACTTGTTCCTCATAAATTTTACTTGTTCCTGCATGTCAAGTAAACAAAAAAAATACTCGAGAGCTTACATTCATTGAATATAGGGAAAAGAGGGACTTTAAATTTGTAACTGTGCCACTGTCACTCTGCATTTATAGTGTAGCTGCATGCTTAATTTCGCCCCTAGATTTTTAACAAGCCATTGCTGCATTTTTTTCTTTAACATGGCTTCATAGGAACCATACTGGGCATCAGTTTTTCACATTTGCAGCTAACTTTTGCGCCGTCTCTTTGTTACAGGCTATAAGAAACGGCAAGCAGGATTGAACAGAACACCTTCAAAGATAAATGGGCAACCCTCTCTGCATTTTCACTATTTTTTTTCCAGCCGATTTTGTGGCTTTTTTATGCCTAACGTTGTTGCTCTTAAAATACTATGACTTGTGTTCTTTTGATTGACAGTTGTCTATGCTCTCTGAATTTTATTTTCCTTTTTTTTTTATGGAGAAAATATTAAATGAAATTTTAAAAACCCCATAATAATTGATTTTACATTAGCAAATGTGTTTTTATTATCATCCCTTGTACTCGATGGTACTATGGTAGGATACGAAATACATCTTTGATGCCATATATTAACTTTATGTAGTAAAAACTCAAAACATATCACATTGAGCTTCAAGGCCGGGGATTGAAATTCATCAAAAATACTTCAATTGCCTCCGTTTTTAACTTATTATTATTATTATTAAGGATTCCATGGTCGAAATATT